CCAAGGGATCACAATCGGATATCGTCGCAGAACTTTCCAACTCCCTCTACGTAGACAATGTGCTACTCGAAGGAAAGAATGCAAACGAATTAATTCGGAAATACGCTGAATCTAAACGACTATTATCATTCTATTGGAATGAACCTGCGTGATTACCTCTCCAACTCGGTTGTAGTCAACAAAAACATAATGGATTCTGATCGAGCAAATTCAACTGAAATCAAAGTTCTTGGAATTCACTGGAACGCCATCGAAGACACTATCACCTTGCAGTGTTCCAAAAAGCAAGTCAACAAGATCTCTAAGCGCACAGTTCTTAGCCAGATCAACGGATATTGTTACGATCCGCTTGGTTTACTGTCACCATTGATGATACCAGCCAAGATATTCCTTCAAGGTCTTCATAAGCAAAAATATGGTTAGACAGCTTGCTGTCTGGAGAAGAACAAAGAGCTTAAAATTTCATTAAGGCTAATATAATCGGTTTCGATGTCAGCTTGCCGAGGAGAGGTTGCTGAGAAGGAACGGAACGACAAAGCACACACTGTCGACATTTGTGGACAGCTCCAAGCGAGCATACGCTTACTGCATCTAAGTGATCTTGGAAAGGCATCGAGGAGACGAAACTCCTCACTGCGTAATCAAAAAGCGCGCTGATCAAGAAGGAACAAACAATACCACGCCTGGAGCTTCTCGCCATATTCATTGGACTAAGTCTAGCCGAATCCACTATCAACAAGATAGATGTGAATTTTGAGCAAATTAACCTCTTCAGTGACTCAACAATCGCCTTATGCTGGATGCAAGGATACAAACGCCTACCCTCTATCGTGGCAATACTAGTCCGAAAAATTGGACTCGTTACGAAACGAGTAGGCGGATCCAGCAACGTCTTAAAACACCCCTGCAGACTGCGGACAACACGAGGAGTGACTAAAAGTGACATTGGGTGTCACAGCTGAGTGTCCGGTCCATTATGGTTCAACATGTCTGAGGAAAGCTGGCCTGTTAAGGACGCCAACCAATCTACGTGAGGCAAGCTTTGACTACGAAGTTGAAGCTCACACTTTCACGGAGCAGACCAACTACCCAGTATGGTCTCTGAAAAGATGGCACCACTCTCATAGTTGACTCGAGTCACAGCGAACTGCGCTCGATTCACTCGTAAAGCAGCGAAGGGCAAACAACTTGCTCTTGAAGTTTCAATGCTAGTGGCAGCCACACTGTCTCCCGTCACAACAGAAACGAAAGTCGTAAATAATGATGAGAAGAACATCATCGATCAGTTTTATGCTTAGCTTTGCTTTTGGGTTTTGCTTTGAACGTTTTTGCCAAATGCGATATTATGGCACGATCCGCACTCAATATGCACATCGGAAAGCCGTGAGGCAAAGACAGGAAGAGTTAACTCTGAAGCAAGAAAAGTGCAGCTTACCCATTGCTGCTACACCACTTATTTCATCAAAAAAACATGATTACAAATGGACGTGAAACATCTGAATGAATTAGAGTTGCTCGGAATAAACACAGACAGTGGTATTGATGAAGCATCACATCAAATTAACGGAGGATACAGAAAAACCACTTTCGAGAATACTTCAACTTTAACTTTACTTTAACATTCGATAATGGGAGCATCACTGCAGGAATTATGTTCATCAACGAAACCTCGAAGACAGCTTCACTGCTGCTTATCAAATACATATAACGAAGCCTCATGCACAATTTTCACAGAGACCAGGAGAAACTGAAGCTGAACACAGCGACACGCTTAAAACATACCTTGAAGAGGAATCATCGAGGAAGTGGACACCTTCTCGAACAGCGTCGCTACCTTCCTCCTTCCTCACAGACACGTATGAACACCTTCAAAGTCAACCAAGCTTCGAATACTGTTTGATGCATCTTCACATCACCCTCAACCGTGCGTTACGTAGATTTTAAAATTTTTACGACCCCTCTCTCTTTTTGGAGGGTATCAGTACGACCCCCCTCTTAGCTGTTGTGTCTTCTTGCATATTTTAGGCCTACCATCAGTGTATGCCTACCATCATCTCCCTTCCATACCCTTTCAAAGGGCGGAAGTGGTGTAGTGGCAAGTGGCACGCTTCACCACGCGAGCGGTCCGGGGATCAAATCCTGGGTCGTGAGTCGCCCGGGCCAACCAAGCCTTCCATCCCTCCGGGGTCGGTTAATTGGTACCAGACTTGTCTGGGAGGATAAAAACACTGACTTGAACATCGGCTGGCCCCCGCAAGTCATTGTATAGGCCACATCGCATTCAAACGCCACTACGAATGTACAAATGGAAGTAGAATGCGTGCCGCATCCCAAAAGGGATTGATCAACGGCAAATGCTTTATCCTTTTATCCTTTAACCGTCAGTGTATGGGCCGTCACTGACATGGAGAGGTGGTGGACAGTTGTACGTGCGCGCGCTTTGTCTCGCTCAGAAGGCGGGAATCGAGGCGACATAAAATGTCGTCTCATTAATAGAACCAACTTCCAAAATTTGCATATACCTAGGCATGCATGGTATTAATCGCAGAGATTTCTACTTACAGAAACATTCCAAGCTTTATTCAAATCTGCTTCCTTCATAAAGTGCATAAACAAACCTTGCAGCGATACCTTTACGATAGCGTATCAGAGCGATCCTTTCATTCAAGAACCTTATCGGATTTCATGCGATGGATGCACAAGAATTCAGTAAAACTTCAAGTTGTTTTCTTCCTCAAAATTTTGAACTTTCGCAAATGTTCACTTGTTCGCAAATTTGTTACAATGTTACTTTCTCCGAAGATACTCCCTTCTTCCGTTTTCAGGGGTTTGTGATCCGATTTTTGAGAGCGCGCGGGTTTTGTCATTTAATTGTTCATAAATTCCTCCACTATTATTTTTTTGCAGATTTTCAGAGCTAATCAGAAACTAGAAGATAGACCTTTTCGAAAGATATCAAGTTTCTAAATGGCATTCTTCTCTCAAAATTCATCCCGTTGCTGCGTTTTCTCCCTCAATGGCTTTTTTAGGCCATTCTCTTGAAATGCTTCTTTTCAACTTTCAAACGGCCATAAGTTTCTTCAAAGTCTGTACATTGGGACGGTAAAGAGCATGAAATCGGAAAGACCAGTGCTATAACAGCCAGATGGCTCTCAGACGAAATCCTTTCTCCTGCGTCTATCAGTATCAGAGATCAATCATCGTAACAGAATCACTTTTCGCTTCCACTCGATGGAAAAAACGTTGGAGCGGATTTCTCTGCGAAAAATTTATTCCTGGGTCGCTGGAACATGATGTATTTTAGTAAGAAGTCTTGCTGTGGGATGCGCCACTCAGTCGCCTTGATGTGTAGCCGCAGTGGCAATTGAAAGTCTGTCCTCCTTTGCCACTTAGCCACGCATTGGCGGCTTCTAATTTTGTGTATGGTGCTTGAAGTTACGATGCCGGTGCCTCCTCTTGTCGTAGCGAATACGAACCTCTCGTTGTTCTTTGCGCATCGGGCGGATGACCCTGCTTCACATGGGACGGATGAGTGCAGCTTCAACGATGTCATCTTTGGAGTTCATTCACTAACGCCACTTATTCATTAAGTGGTTCTGCAGTTTTGCAGCACTTTTACACCATGGTGGCTGATATAAAAGAGCATTTTTACAAGTACCGCTGCCAAAGGAGGTAGAACCTGTCACAATACTTCCTCGGGTGAAATGTACTCGCGCTTCTACAAGCAAGAAACAATCCCAAGTATTTTCGTTTTGCCAGGTACCTTTCGGTACCAATGCAAGCTCAGCTATTTTAAACCAACTGATACTGAAGCACATTCAAGGATCGCAGAACTTTCCAACTCCCTCTACGTAGACAATGTGCCACTCGACGATAAGAAGCAAACGAATTAATCTAAAAATACGCTGAATCTGAACGACTATTATCATTCTATTGGAATGAACCTGCGCGATTTCCTCTCCAGCTCAACTGGTTGTAAACAAAAACATTATGGATCCTTGTCGAGCAAATTCAACTGAAATCAAAGTACTTGGAACTCATTGGAACACCGTAGAAGGCATTACCACTTTAAAGTTTTTCCGCAAAAGCAGGTCGACAACTCAGTCTCTAACGCACGATCTTGGGCCAGTATCAGTATATGGTGTTGAGATCCGCTTCGTTTACTGTCACCGTTGATCAACCAACTAAGATATTCCTTCAAGGTCTTCATAAGCAAAAATATGGTTAGACAGCTTGCTGTCTGGAGAAGAACAAAGAGCTTAAAATTTCATTAAGGCTAATATAATCGGTTTCGATGTCAGCTTGCCGAGGAAGGTTGCTGAGAGGAACGGAACGACAAAGCACACTGTCGACATTTGTGGACAGCTCCAAGCGAGCATACGCTTACTGCATCTAAGTGATCTTGGAAAGGCATCGAGGAGACGAAACTCCTCACTGCGTAATCAAAAAGCGCGCTGATCAAAAGGGAACAGATAATACTATGCCTGGAGCTTTTTGCCGTATTTATTGGACTTAGTCTAGCAGCCGAATCCACTATCAACAAGATAGATGTGAATTTTGAGGGAATTAACCTCTTCAGCGACCCAATCGCTTCTGCTGTGCAGGATACAAACGCCGCTTTCTATCGCGCAATACTAGTCCGAAAAATTGGACTCGTTACGAAACGAGTAGGTGGATCCAGCAACGTCTTAAAACACCCCTGCAGACTGCGGACAACACGAGGAGTGACTAAAAGTGACATTGGGTGTCACAGCTGAGTGTCCGGTCCATTATGGTTCAACATGTCTGAGGAAAGCTGGCCTGTTAAGGACGCCAGCAATCTACGTGAGGCAAGCTTTGACTACGAAGTTGAAGCTCACACTTTCACGGAGCAGACCAACTACCCAGTATGGTCTCTGAAAAGATGGCACCACTCTCATAGTTGACTCGAGTCACAGCGAACTGCGCTCGATTCACTCGTAAAGCAGCGAAGGGCAAACAACTTGCTCTTGAAGTTTCAATGCTAGTGGCAGCCACACTGTCTCCCGTCACAACAGAACGTTTTCCAATCCGCTAAGTACAATGCATACACATTAAAGACGTGTTCATGAAATACAAAGCTAGCTTGTGAATATGGGATGCAATGGGCATACGTATAAAAGTCTGCGACCCAGCAACGGGATATCACCTTCGGTATCTCAGCCGCAATTGCAAATACCGAAGTAGAGCAGACTAGGGTACCTGTTAGCATCCAGTTTAAATAAGGAATCATCTCACTGTAAAACAAACCAGATACTCAACAATATCACACAGCGGTATTGGATCGTTTGTAAGCGAATCCTTAAATACTGTGTGGTATGGTATAAACATAATACTGCTCTATACAAGTACCCAGACATGGGTTACCTACGGGGTGTACTACAGAATCACCTCCTTTTTCTCACACCAGGGTCTTCTTATGGGGGGGAGGCAGGGATAGCCGAGTGGTTAAGAGGTTAGACTCATGTCTGCACCTCCGAAAAAGCTGCGAGTTCGATCCCTGCCGAGGCTCTAAACCATGCCTTGCAAAAATTGCAAAAATGGTTCTAGTACCAGCGTCAGGCCCAGGTTGACAGGCCGGCTGATGAATACCCCAGTCACACCAATCATGTCTAAAAGTTGTCAAAGAATCAGTGATAAAGCTAGGACGTCACCCGGAAGTGGCGCGCAGAACCCCCGCCCGAGTTCTGTGGTCAGTATGCGAGGGCTACCGAGGAGTGAACGGCCTCGGCCAAAGAAGCTAGTTCGAATAGGGACTCTGAACGTAGGATCGCTAACTGGGAAGTCCCGAGAGGTTGCTGACTGATGACGCGCAGGAATATCCAAGTCCTATGCCTTCAGGAGACGCGATGGAAAGGTGCTAAGGCCAGGGAAATCGGGGAAGGTGTCAAGCTCTACTACAATGGAGAAGACACCAAGCGGAACGGCGTGGCCATAGCGGTAGCGGAGTCGCTCAAGGACTATGTCTCCGCTGTGAACAGGATCAGCGATCGGATCATGGCTGTGAGGATAGACACGAAGGAGGGGTACTGGTCAATACTCTCCGTGTACGCACCGCAAGCCGGGTGCCCCGAAAGTGATAAGGACGAGTTCTATCTGAGCCTGGACGAAGCCATAAGATCGGTTCCGGAAGGCGATTACCTGACCATAGCAGGTGATCTGAATGGCCACGTCGGCAGTGACAGAAGAGGCCTAGAAAGGGTGCACGGAGGTAGAGGGATAGGACGAGGAACGCTGAGGGAGAGAGGGTTCTGGACCTGGCTACAGCCCACGACTTGGCAGTCTGCAGCACGTTCTTCGCGAAAAGGGAAGTCTCAAAAGGTAACCTACAGCAGTGGAGGGAGACAGACGGAAATCGACCATGTGCTGGTAAGAAGATCAACCCTCAAAACTGTGAAGGATATCAAAGTTCTACCCGGCGAAGATCTGGCTCCCCAGCACAGGCCCCTCCTGGCAGACATTGCGATAGACCTCCCCAAGAAGACAAGGGTAAGAACCGAGAGGAGAATCCGGTGGTGGAAGCTGCACCAAGCGGAGAAGGATGACCTCAGGCGAAAGATAATGGAAGTCGGTCTCCCAGATCCTAACGGGCCAATACAGCGGACTTGGGGCAGCGCGGCTGAGACCATCCTGCGATGTGCCAAGGAGGTCCTGGGCGAGACGCGAGGTGGATTCAGAGGAGACAAGGCAGCGTGGTTCTGGAACGAGGAGGTCCAGCGAGTCGTGAAGCAGAAGAAGGAAGCATACAAGCGCTGGCAGAAGACCCGAGCCCCGAGACCTCGCTGCCTACAAAAGTTGCAAGAGGCTCGCTAAGGCTGCCGTCGCCAAGGCAAAGAACACGGAAATGGACGCCTTGTACGAGAAGTTGGAAGAGCAGAAACGCAGAGAAGTTCGTCTTCAGGCTGGCTAAGGCCCGGCATCGGCTACCCAAGACATCAGGGTGGTGAAAAGTGTGAAAGGCAGCGATGGTGTCATCCTAAGGAAGCCAGCCGAAGTCAAGAGGAGGTGGGAAGAGTACTTACAGTGCACTTCTGAACGAGGAGTTCCCCCACAAGAACAACTCACGGGCAGAGGCCACAGCTGGTCCCATCGCACTCTGGACAGAGGATGAGGTTAGGTGTGCACTTGGGAGGATGAAGGTTGGAAAGGCGGTTGGCCCAGATGGGGTGCCAATCGAGGCATGGAAGGCGCTCGGAGAGTACGGGATAAGATGGCTCACACGATTCCTCAACAACATAACTGGAAGGAAGGATGCCAGATGCCTGGAGAACAAGTACTATCGTCCCCATCTTCAAGCAGAAGGGTGACGCGATGGACTGCTCCAACTACCGCGGGATCAAGTTGACTGCGCATACCATGAAGCTGTACGAGCGACTGGTCGACTCGAAACTGCGGGAGCTGGTCCCGATCTCCCAGGAACAGTTCGGGTTCATGCCCGAAAGGTCTACAACGGATGCCATCTTCATCGCAAGGCAAGTGATGGAGAAGTATCGAGAAAAGCGCCGACCCTGCTACCTAGCCTCCTCGACCTGGAAAAGGCGTTCGACCGGCTACCGCGAGCAGTACTATGGAGATCGCTCAGGGAACGGAACGTGCCAGAACACCTGATCTCGCTGGTGAAGGACATGTACGAGGAGCCAAGGCAGCCATACGCACCCCTCACGGCCTAACAAAGGAGGTACATCACGGTTGGGGTGCACCAAGGGTCAGCTCTGAGCCCGTTCCTCTTCCTCCTAACACTAGATGTCCATGGTGAAGGGGCTCATGGAAGGACCACTGAAGACCATCCTCTACGCTGACGACATCGCCTGATAGCGGATAGCAGAGAGGAACTTACAGGCCAAGGTGCAGAAATGGCAGAAGTCCTGGCAGAAGGTGGGCTCCGGCTGAATGTCAAGAAGACCAAGTTCCTGAGCTCTGAAGAGGGTGCAGAGCCGATCGTGGACGGCCATGGTGAAAGCATCGAAAGAGTGGAGGACTTCCGATACCTTGGGAGTGATCTGGCAGCCGACGGCAGTGTGGATCAGGCAGTGAAGGAGGATCAACGCGCATGGATGAAATGGAGGGAAGTCCACTGGAATCCTCTGCGATCGAAGGTGCTCCAGAACGCTCAAAGGGAAGGTGTACCGGACAGTGGTAAGGCCTGCGATGCTCTACGGCAGCGAGTGCTGGCCCCTGAACAAGAATCACGAAAGGCAGCTTCACTCCGCTGAATGAGGATGCTGAGATGGGCCTGCGGCTGGACGCGACTGGACAGGGTCAGAAACGAGGATGTCAGAGCGGTCATGCAGACTGCCCCTGTCCAGCTGAAGGTACGGGAACAGCGTCTGCGATGGTATGGGCATGTGCTAAGGAGGCCACAGGACCACCCAATAAGGAAAGCAATGGACTTCGAAGCGCAAGGCAAGCGACCGCGAGGAGCCCCAAAGAAGAGGTGGAAGGACGTATCAAGAAGGACCTAAGTGAAATCATGGCCACAGCAGAGGATGCCCTGGACAGAGCGAAGTGGCGACGACTGACAAAGACAGCGGACCCTGCGACTGCGCGGGACTAACGCTAGGGAGAAGAAGAAGAAGGGTCTTCTTATGGGATCTGCCGTATTGAAATCGTCAAGTAGAGAAGACTGCAAGAGATTAGTCGCCTTAGTCGCCTGGTTCACATGTCTAACCTAGGCTTGCTAACTTAGAGGTAGCAATGAATTTGTCAGCCAGAATCTTTACTTTCACGCTGAAGATATTTATCACGCGTCGAGGAGTTCCATTAGAAAAGCGACAACGGAACGACTTTTCACTAAACTGAGAACATTCTCAATAACACCCAGGGACGGTAGTAAAGTGTCCTAAATGGCCAGTCTATAGTTGGCCAATAGGTCACGCAGTGCTCGCCTTCGTCCCCACCCGCAAAGCATGGGGAAAGGCGCGAAACTCGCGCTGACGTGCCGCAGTGGGCGAGGTCTGGGCCGCATCCCAAGTGGCCAATGTCCTAGGTGGCACCTAACGCTAGTCGGCGAACCTGGGCAGAGAAAAGGTAAAGAGCGTGGAGAACGCAGAGATCGCAGAGGGTCATGTAGAGGGCGACCAATATGTACCCCTGAGTACATTTAGTGATCTCTGCAATCCCCATGCACTTTCCCCTTTCTCTGCACGTCATGTAGAGCGTGTTTGCATCCCTGCCATGTCGCAGAGCGAAGAGAAGAAGGGTGATTGGTGATAGGTGTTGAGGAAGCCACCGGAGCTATCGATAATATTGATAACTTTCTGCCAATAAGGTGTCCCCAGCTGTCCCCATTATTGTTCCACTTATTGATTGTGTTACAGCCCCTTCTTTGGTCATGGGAGAATTTCACCTCTAAACAATTAAATGGGAATGGTCTCCACCCTAACACGTCGATTGGCGCAGCGGGTTCGTTCCTTGTGGACATAGGATCGGTCGCGGGATCAGTTCCATTCGAAACCCAAGGTTTTGCAACCCTCTCAGGTTACTACCTTGCATTCTACAATTCTTTCAAAGTGAACCAGCAGTGCTTTGTGGTGCAGTGTCAAGCGTCGCGCTCATGGACGCTGCGTTACACGGTTCAAGTCCATGGGCGATGTGAGTTTTGCTAGCAACATACTGAAGTTCGCCGTTCACACCAGGGTCATCTCACTATCTTGCCTTTCATTATTCGCCGTTTAAAGGCCGTAGTTCACCACCCTTGACTCCCAGTCTATGGCACTTTACTACCGTCCCAGATTAGCAATCAGGATTCTCTCTCTCTTTGCTTCTTCGCTGAACATAGGATTTCTTGGAACTTTCATCCCACACCCATCCCCGTGGATGAGCGGAGTACGGGAGAGAATGGTCGGTACAATAAAACGATCTCTGCAGAAGATGACCGGTTCACACAAATTGAATGATGAACTACTCCAGACCACTCTCTGTGAAAAGTGTCATCAACTCAAGGCCTTCAAGTGCGATTGGTGATCAAAGTTCACCATGCCATGCCTTGCCTTACCTATAGATTTCAAGACGTCCGGCACGGAACCATCCAGCTTACTTCGGAAGAGAATGACGATGACTCAGACTTCCAGCGATCTCTGGAAATTCCGTCACATAAACATCGAAAACAGCTATTATCGGAGCTCCGAAAGAGACGACCAAAAATTCTAGAGTACTGAATCACGAAACTCATAAGAAAAATAAGATTTGTTACGAAGTCATTGGAAAGAAGGCAAGATTGTCTGATCTTCGCACTGGAGACGTGGTGCTCCTGGACGATGACTCGCCACATCCAAGAGGACTATCAAGGGTGCTTAATTGCTTGATGCTAATTCAGAAAGAGTAATGGAGACAATTTCGAGCATTTGCTCTTTCTCCAGAATTCAAAAGGAAGCACTATACAAAGACCGGAATCGTCTCATTCACTTGGAAATATGGTCGCTCGCCCAGTCTTAGGAAGACCAAATTGACGAGCTTTCGACAATGCAAGAAAACGATCACAGTTCGCAGAAAACCATCCTCAAGGTTGGCAAACAAATACGTGGCCATAAGACATCAGCTAGAGCTGCAAAAAATCAGGCCTTGCAAAGAAGCAAGACCTGGTTGCAAGAGCTTCAGCAACTCGAGCTCAAACATCCTTTCCATGATCTCCATGTATGCGCTCTCACTTCTTAATCAGTGGCTGCAGCACCACAATGTCCTGTTCAAGCAAGGGTTCAACAATTAATAGGACGCATTCCGCTAGGACGGAACACTGAAATTACAGAGAATGCAAGATTATCTCAGGAGGAGATGAGGTAACGGGACTTGCCCGGACATTTAAGCACATCGTCAGTCAACAAACTATTCAGTGGCGGGCTATCGTTGACCCCAAATAATATACAGAAACGAGTAGTCCATCCACAGTGAGAGTGTGCCAAACATCAACTGTGTCAGTGCAAGGATTTTTCAGAAATCCTCACTGTGCCCTCGGATGGCGATGGGGAACTCTGCATATGCCTGGCAGCCATCCTCGCCCCACTCTCGTTGTTGTGCTAGATGACCTCTCGGCTAATACTCTTCAAACGAGGCCGGAATTATAAGAATACTCAAGCAGAGTAATAATCAGCAGCAGAAAAAGGATAGCTAGGATAAAAGGAAAAGGGACAACAAAGTTGTCTGCTAGCAACGAGCTCAAGCTGATCATAATCAGCGTCGTAATGGCACGGACAATCGTGCCAGTATACCCCACACTCGACGCAAACATCACAGTCCGCTCTCGGTCACCCTACAAGACCAACTGCCGAGATGTTCATGAAAGCGCCATAATGCTGAGCGAAAATAGACAGTTCAAGTTTGCCTTCGTCTTCGAAACGGCAACCAACAATATAGGGAGTATGGGATTACAGATGCATCAGTACTCCTGACCTGCAACCCACTCGTGCTTTCTCTACACAAGAGACGCCAACACCGTCACCTGTAAAGCGATATAGTCTCTGAAGCGATGACCTAGCTGGCTGCTGCACTTCACGCAAATTTACACTCATCAGCAGCAAGTCTGAGGTTCTGAATTGTTCGACAATAGAATCGTCAGCTCATCGAACTGGTGGATGTAGCCAACGACGTTGCGAGTAATGGACAAACACGTCCGAGTTACGAATGGTATAGGTCTTTCCAGAAGTACGGTAACAGCACACTTGGAAAATGAATCCAATTTCTTCTGATTGATTCTTTCACATTGGAGCTACATCCATTTATTTACTTTTGCTAGTTTTACAATGCTGCTTGTCCTAAAATTATAGCAAATTCTTCTCAACAAATTATATTAATACTTCGAATTGGGTGCTTTTTCGCAGTTTCACTAATTATTTATTGATCTATTTATTTATATTTATTTAT